ACACGTGTAAGACTTTCTCGTGAACAAAGATTGTTAAAAACTGGTTTAATTGCATCAAGTACAGGACGAGGTAAAGCATGCGACGTATGATCATATGGAGTTTTATCACGAACAGATTTCAAATAGCCACACCAATCGATACTGCAATAATCATGACGAGGATCATCATTGGTCGAATATTTATGCCAAAATATTGCCCAAGATCCGTTAAATAATAAATCCAGATCATGCTTGAACTTTCGAATGGTGGAGGCAAATGTCATTTGTAATCGAAGTATATTATGAACTAAAATAAAAAAAATATCCAAATTTTCGATTTGTTTTGTTTCGAAATCTTCTTCTGAATTAGAAAGACTTACCAGATAGACGACTTGTACCGCCAATTGTTTTACCACCAGATAATTTTTTTCGTCCATGTTCACGTTTTATTGTTTCTAATCCTCGTTTCATTCTTTTACTAAAATGATTCAAGTCTTCGATTTTTTTTTTATTTCTTTTCCTAAAATTACAGAACAGTTAGAGCATACTTTAATTTAGAAAAAAAATTCTCAAATCAAATATATATATTATACCTGGATAAGGTACGAATTTTGAAAGCACTGGAAAGGTTTTTTAATCACCATCCCCAACGTACTTAGTATAGTAAACTCCATATTTTGAAGCTGATCGTTTGAACATAGTAAGAATAGCAGCAGATTCCATTGTACCAGAACTTTTTTCACATCGATGCGATCTAATAATATTATCATATTTAGCTGGATTGGATTTTTTAATAGAAAGTGCACCTAAAAAAAGAGTATCCAATCAAGAAAAAGAAAAAAAGAAACTCATCCATGCAAGTATTACATGTTTTACTGCATGTTTCTATATCCAGTACTTTTGGTGTTGTGTTACAAGAAAAAAGAGCAGCCGCACCATGTCTGCTTTGGAAACCTCGAGTCTGCCAGAATCCATCTCCACTAACCATTAATTCTGTACCATTTTCAGCAGCTACAGTTTCCTCTACTGCTTTCTTCATTGATCTTCCGGTGAATGATTTTACTATAATTAGTAAATCTCTATCCCATTTGGAATATCTTTCATCTTGAATGGGACTCGGTAAATTCATAATACCCATCAATTTCACTAATCCAGCATGTCTGATACCACATAAATGACCACCTATTTGTGATCTTACGTTGATGTCTCGGCGATCTGATGCAACAATCTTCGGAGTTGTTTCTAAAAATAAATTGAAAAAAATGTTGGATACATCAATAAAACGCAGACGGATTCGATAGTTAGAAATATTTACTTACCAATGGTGATTATGTTTTGACATATTGAACATTGAAAAGATAATATCAGGAATAAACCTTCGCGCTTGTTGATGTTCATGTTTCCACTCCAACGATTTTCACAGGCTTCACAATTTGTCTTACAAATAAGAGACAATAACACTTGATTTTGTATTATTGAGTATCCATCCAATGGTACGTTTGAATATGACTTTGATGATGTTGATGTTATATCCAACTTCGTTTTTTTGTGATCTTCTGTTGTGATGGTAAAGACGAACGTGTTGAAGATGTAGTTAGATTTGATGTTGAAGCTTGTGTTGTTGATATATTTTTCGATTGTAAAGATGATGCTTCCATTCATTTATTTTGAACGTTCCGTATCGATGTTCTTCGTCTACTACATCTAATATTAAAATTTCTTTATTATAATAAGAATAATTATCAAATAAAAATTTTTTCCTTCTAGCATTAGTTACAATATTCAATAATTTCAGACAGAGAATAGAATAAAAATTTGTTTGATATCACATACCGTTTTACGCTTTTTCTATTGGACATGATGTTTCAATCAATAATTCTTGAAAAAAAAGCTGTGATAATAAATCAAATTAGAATCTAAAAAAAAATTTATAAAATCAAAATCTGAACTCGTTTATTTACTTTTTGAACACACTAATATCATCATATACTGATAAAAAAGACAAACAAACGTGGTACACGTTCTTGTATGTTTAGAACATGACTGGAAATTAGAGAACACGAAAAAATAATTTCGAGAGCGAAGAAAAGCAAAACAAAGAAAATGCATCGTAAACGATGTGCTCTAGTGTGATCGATACATTTCATAAGAATTTGTCATTTGTTACACTATTTTTGTCTTTTCTTTCTTTCTCTCTGATAACAATTATACATCATAAATGCTGATTTATTATATAGCGATACAATATATTTGTAATAAGTATCCTTTTCAGTAAACAAAAAAGAATGAGACAATGTATAGTTAATGTTAGCAGTATTTTTTCGATCAAGTCGACCATGTCCCTGTCGGTATAAGTAAAATAATATTTTACAGATGTTCAACATGTCAT